ACTGTTTCTACTGCATCATCCTCTCAGAGAAAGAGAATTCTCACAGATGGAAGAATGTCTCAAAGACTAGAAGAGCAACAGGAACAGAGGATAAAATACCCCAGATCTCCCCCAGTACTTATACTGTTCTATTGCTTCCTCTTTTTCTACATTAATTTTTTAGCCTGCATTTTTTTTTTCTCTCTCATTTTTTTAAGGCAGACAGATGAAAAAAGATGTAGGAGAAAGGAGGTTTCAAGAAGTGCTGGATGGTTAGAGGTGTTTGATTAGTGAGCTAAACTGATTACTTGATCCTGGAGGAATAAATAATGACTTTGCTACTTCCCAGGCATGGGATGCCTTCTGCTGACAGTGTGCTGACCAGGCTCAGGCACAGGGAAGGTGCAGGCTGGCAGAGGTGGGTAAAAAGCTCAGACAGAAGGCAGTGATCCTCCCTACTCCAACTGAGGAGACTGGAATTGAATGGTTTGTTAGCAGCAATTCTGTAGAAGTCATTATATTGTATAATTATAATGGCATATAAGTCATTATATGGTTTTTATTGCTGGTGCTTAATACTTACCGGATGGTTCCACTGAATAAAATAGGATCTTGGAGAATGATTGACAGCCTGGATCTCAATGTCTGTAAGGGGAGCTTAGCGATATCTATACCATCAATGATAATCCTTCCTATTCAAAAGAAAATTGATAGTTTGCTGGACTGTTTATCGTGCCACACAGCTGCTGGCAAAGGCAGGGCTCACTTCCAGCTTGCAATACAGTACAGCAGGAACAGACCTTGAATTGCATATCCACTTATTCACTAATGAAACAAGTTTTGGTTAAGCAGCAAGCACAATTGTCTTGAGACTAAGCCTCAGCTGGAAGGAATATGAAGTATACCTGTAATACTTTATGAATGATTAGACACACTATTTATCTGCTTGACCATTATAAACATCTATCAAACACGAAGGTAAGAGGTTACTTCAACCAGGAACTAGTTAGTAGGGGGAACAAACATTTCAGAAAGCCAAATCACTATTGAGCACTTTGAAATTTTATGTCCAAATACAATTGTCTGGCACTGCATAAGGGCCCTTTGGGTGATGTGGCTGGGAAACTGAGGCTAAAATTTTTTTGAGATGCACAGGAAGGCACTGTGTGAGGCACGTGGACATGGCACACACAGCAGGAAATATGGCAGGAAATTCCAGGGACAGAGGCCCAACTGCAATCCTGAGTTGCTGAGTTTTCTGGACCCAGTCAGTCCTATCCGTGCCTTGTGTGTGGATCCTTCATTGTACTTGAACACCTTCCCTGTTTATGGTTTGCTCCTGCTGTTGTGATTTAACAGCACAAAAGGACTTTTGATTCTGTCAAGCAGAATTTTTATTGATCCAGCTTGTTTATCAATGGCACAGGTGTTATGTGACAGATACTGTGTTTAAACAAGGCCAGAGAGCATGTTCTGCAGATTAAAAAAAATGCATTTCAAAGCTGCTGCTGTTAAGGAAAGGACTATCAAAGCACCTTCAGGAGCTAAGCTTGACTGATAGGCAAAAAATCTTACCCTCAAAAGTGTCAACCATTCTGAAAAATGCAAGAGAGAAGGAGGATTTTCCACTGCCTGTTCGGCCGCAGATCCCAATCTGTGACACAGAAAGCAGACGAACATCAAGTGAGCGGAAATGGATAATGTCTGTATGCGACACTTAAGATGAGTGGATGGAGGAGCTGCTCTGATGCACATGATCCTCCTGACAGTTCAGTCAGACTGAACTGGCCATAACAGAACCCCTAAGTTCACTCTTTGTCTTTAGGGGCAAGTCAAGGCCAGTCCTATACAGGAACAATAGGAGAGTGTCAACAATGGGAACAAGGCAAGAGAGCCACATGGGAATGATGGAAAGCAGGTCTAACACAGTAAGGGGTCACTGTTGCTTCTTTTGGCACTGTGTGCTGACAGCAGGGCAATGGGATACTGAGAAGTGGTGTGTAGTTCTAACTTCTCACTCTAATGTATGCCTAAACACATCAAACTAAGAAACCCACACTCCTTTCCAGTGCACTACATTGTTTTAGAGAAAAAAAAATTCTGTAATTCAGTCCTCAAATCATACTGTGGTATGACTTTTCATCTGTGTGATTTCTATGATGTGCTGGTCTAAAGAGCTTCTCAGAAGCACTGCAGTTCTTTACCTTTTGTCCTGGAGAGATGTGGGCATTGACATGCTTTAGCACTGGCTTTAAGTTGCTGTCATATCGGACGCTGAGGTTCTGGATTTGGATCTCCCCTCTGTCTGGCCAGTTCTGGGGAATCTGTGAGGAAGCTGTATCAGGAGCACAGGGAGAAAAAAACCCCCAAAAAATCAACCCTCACATAATAAATTAATCAGCTCATTAAGTGATCTACTATGGTTTTCATGGCAATACATTGCAAAATCATTAAAATTTCAGCAAGCTCTTTCTGCATGCTGCACAAAACTGCACTTACAAAGGAGCCCTTCGTAATTTTCAGCTTCTGTTTTGAGAAGGCCATTGATTCTTTTCACTGCACCCAGCTGGATCTCCATGTCAGCCAGGTTACGAACCATCCAATTCAGATAGTTAGACACCTGATGTAAAGCAAATACACTACTAAATTCCAGATTTTTAGTAGTTTGCAACATTTGACCAGCATGCAGTTTATATTCCTCCACAGTAACACTTGTTCAGCCTTAATAAGCTGAAGTTGTGAATGAACAGTACGGTACACATCAACGGGGAGACAACCATGACTAAAGGTTAAATTTCCTGACTGCAGCGCACAGATACTTTGGTGCTATGGAGATCTGATCTACACCAACAGGAAAGAGGGAGGGGAACAGTAAAGACAGGTGAAAAGACATCATTTTGGTAACTTAAGGTTCGGCAGTCTAGAATGATGTACCAGGGCATAATTGCAATTGATGCACTGAAAAAATATTATTCGCAATGGAAGACAATATAAAAAATAGCTGCAATTTGGCCGTGTGTTGTTCACATATTTTGAACTAACACTTCAATTAGTATTTTATCTAAAAACTGAAGAAAGCATACACTCAAATATGTCAACCATTGAATGTGAACTGAAGTTGACACATGGTTTCAGATATGTTACAGTACCCGCTATAGATGTACAGACACCTTCGATCTTCCTGTTCATCTTTGTGCCCTGAAGAATTACAAAAAAACATTTGGGAGAGATAAAAAGGGTCCTGAGATTCTTACCATAAGAGCATACGTTAGTCCCAAGCCTACAAGTCCTGAAGAGAGTTTACTGTACAGGCAACTGGTAATAGAAGTGACAGCTGCTATGAGTACCACACATGCTCCAATGTACTCCTGAAGGAATATGAATAAGCTCCATCACTATAAGTCTATAAATGATTAAAATGTTCTCATAACTTTGCATACTAAATAACAAACCCATTGCACAGCTTGAAATAGAGGCAGAAAACACCACATAACTCCATACAGACCCTGCCTAGGAACCCATTCTCGTTGCCTTTAGCATGGCTGTGCTGTTTGGAAATGCTGCTGTACACAGAAGGAGTTGTACCAACACTCCTAATAATCTTCTAGACAAGTCAGCACAGATATCTGAAGCCTGGTGGCTGACACCATGCCGCTGGTGTTACCTGGGGTAGGAGGGAAATGCTCATGTGATCCCCTCTCTGCAGCTGACAGGTGAGTGTTGGGAGGCACTGCAGTTGCTGCTGGGTAGCTACCATCCATACTCTATTAGTCAGGCTGTCCACCCATGATGGACTTTGCTGCTTTAAATCATTAGTGATTTAACTTCCCACAGACAAGTCTTTAAGTAAAATTATGTAGGATTACAAAATGGACTGTGTAGGAGGGAAACTGTCACCCATCTACATTTGTAACTGTTTAGTGATACAGGCATTGATTAGAATCAGGAACTTCAGATGGTCTAGAACGGAACATATAAAAGGGTAGTAACATTTTATTGAAGTCATACTCGATATCTGAATTTAAGTAGCAAAAGGTGCCAGCTAAAATGGAGGTATAGAATGTGACATGAAATATGACTTAACATACACTTAGCACATATAAAAGGAGCCCAGGTTACCACAACAGCAGTACTACACCTGTATTTAACAAAGTCTGCTACAAATATGACCATCCACAACATAAAATTCCTTTATTTGCTTCTCAAGGAATTATTTTTAATAAATAATTTCTCATGCCAGGCGACTTTACTGAGCATGCTAAAGAAAAGGGCACCTGATTATCTTTGGCATTCTTTAGATGACCCAAAACAGGCATAAACCTGTCTATGTCCTTCTGCTTATTAAGAGCTTTCAAGATGTTGAAATGTTCCTGGGGAGCCACAAGGCAGAGGCCTGCTAATGATGACTGACACAGTCCCATAAAGGCATCCTGGTTGGCGGCACAGCTCGACCATCTCTGATCACTCTTCACACACAGAGGAGTCAATGTGACCTACAAAACCTACTCTTGTCTTGGAGAAACAGCTGCAGGCTATGGGGAAAATCTCTACTCCACTCACTTTCCAGGATGGGTTGGGCACTTGTTCATTACAGATAGAGCAATACAGACATAAAGGGTAAAGGTATAGCTTTGAAACCCATCCAGATGGGGCTGGGTAACAGTTGGATGCTTCATCAGATTGCTTAGAATCAAGTCAAATAAATTAATTAGGTACACACAAAACCAAGGTACTTGCCATGCGGACTTCCAGCCAGCGATTGGCAGCTGTAAGGAAAAGGGAAGCGATGTTGTTGGAATCTGTGTATTCAAGAAGTTTTTGTCGAAATTTAGCTTCATACCTAAAAAAAGAAAAAAAAAAAAAAAAGAAAGAGAAAAAAAATGACAGACCTTAGGGTCTTGGAAAAATGAAAAGTAAAATTTAATTTCTGGGGGTATATGTTCATGGCAGCTTGACACAGGGTCTAAATCAGCCTACCAATAATTCAGAGTGACATCATCTGTAGACTTTTATTGGACACATGCAAACTGTATTTGTAAAGTATCTTTGGCAGTAAATGGATGTTCTTACATTGATGAAACTCTACATGGGACCTCTGGATCACACTGGGCATTTTCTAAATATTTTATTACATGGTAACTCTAAGAGGAGACAAATCTGAAACTAAAAAAATTAAAAATATATATGAAAGAGAAAAATACATGCATGTACTTTTGAAAAGAAGTATTAAAGCTGCAGAATGCAGTTCCTCTTCTCACTTAATCATATAAGCTCAAGTTTTAAATTTTATATTACTGCAGTGCCTAGAAATTGTAACCATTTATAAAGTATTAAATGCAGAGTACCTCCAGTCATGGTAGCTCCAGTGTTAGACACACACATTTGTCCTTGTCACTAAACAAATGGAGCACTTTGGAAAACAGAAGTCCAAGCACATGGTGCAACAAAAAGTAACAGACTGGAAAAAACTGTGTTGCCCCCTCCCCAAACAGATGAGTCACAGAATACAAAATGAGATTAATGGCAACTAGGTCTGCTTACAGTTCACTATGGTGGATCTGCACCCACTCACCAGAATAGCTGCATCAATGAATTCTGCCTTGAATTCAGCAGATATTGAAGATGATTCCTGCTACACTTATTTAAACCGGGGTCTTGACAAGCATGCAAGTCAGCCAGCCACATCTTTTAGCCAGGCATATTTATTTGCATAGGTGTAAATTAATGTGATGTTAATAATAAAGTGCATCAATAATTATGTCTAATAATAAAGGAGAAGCCTGGTACACAGGACTCTTCCAGGGTAGTAATAGAAGCTTGAAGGCCTGAAGATATAATCTAAGCACCGAAAGCTTGCCCTTTTTTCCCTCCTTTATTACATTAGCAAGTTTAACAAGCTTGCTCATCTCCCCTTATAAAACTTTGCCCTCTGTATATCCTTAGCTGTTATGGTTGCAACAAGCACTACTTTTTTGTCAACTCAGCTCTCCTTACACTGATATGAGAGAAAGCTATGACAATGTTAATTGTTCAAGTACGAAGTACATAGCTTCGAGAAGCTTTCAAATTTGTTCACTGCAGAGTATCTTAATCCTTCTTCTGAGTACAGTATAATAAAGTTATGACTTTACATAGATCATTTATGCTTTGAGGATAAGAAATAAGTGCCACTTTGTGGAAATAATTTAGCTGTTCACAACTTAGCCAATGGGCCAAGACGTAAGAGATGTCTGCTGTGTGCAGTGGAGAATGGCCTGAGCTGGCTCCCAGCGTGTTGGTGTCTGCACAGCCTAGAGTGGCTGTTCCTGAAAGCGAGCATTAGCGTCACGCAGTGTTGGAGCCAGCGAGCCCTGCCTTTCCTCAGGACTAATTACCCTCAGTGCCCTACCACACAGACATGGCTGTGCTATTCTGGAGCCAATTCAGTCACATTTAACTTCCACCTCTCTATACCACGAGCTATTATGTGCTGCAGATATGCCTTACGAGATGTGAGGTATGCATCATGAGTCAGTCACACATATGCACGTGGAACGGGGACGCAGAGAAAGTTACCACTGTTAGCAGAGTACTGCAGAAATATCAGAATTTCTCCTCAGATTACTAGGCCTCTCAGAATACAGACCAGTCTTTGCAAAGCCTTCACATTTACATTTTATTATTTAGCACCAACGCTATCTGAGGTGCCAGACAGCAAACTGTAAATCAGGCCAGGGCATCTGCTGAAGGTGTATTTATAGCTGCAGCAGTAGCTGTCTTTCTGATCTCCCTCTGGATTTTTTTGGTACACTTCTTTCCTTATGTGTTCTGAGTAAGAGCAGGACAGAGTTACCAAGAGTAAGGACACTCCATGAACAACTGGTACCTCCTGGATTCCTGAATTAGTGTTATTTTTAGGGATGCTCAAGCTAGCAAGCCTAAACTCCACTTCTGCTAATATGTTAGGCAGCTGAAAAGCTACACAGTCCTAAAAATAGCGAGGTTACTAGCTGATGCAGGAGGCTGGCAGGCAGATGGAATAAAGAACTTACTGCGTGCACATGGCTGTTTGGGTCAGAGACATCAACTACTTCAGCATTTAAGAAAAAGAGGCACCAAACAATCCTTTGACAGAGGAACTCATGTCAAGGTGACAGAAAGAATCAAGAGGGAATGCTCCAAAAGACTGAAAATATTAGATAGACTGCATTGAATATTATTTATTGTATCAACACCTGAAAATATACAGCCATAATACTCTAAAGATCCTCATGCTGAAGTAGAATATATGGATAAATTAAAAAAGCAACAATTAAAAGAGAAATTGAATTTCCATAAAACTGAACATAGATGTAGCTACAAGCTAGAAAACACTGTTGGCACTTGATGAATTAAATATCCAATAACAGTAGTTAATGGAAGATACTATGCTGTTGTACCACTCTTCAGGAAGGTATCTTCAAACAAAAAGAAACAAACTTAAATTTTTTGTTCCTTCATTGAGCTTTTTATATCCTATTTACAATAGTTTAAGAAGAGTTAACTTTGTGCATTACTTCTATTATGAAATTAAAATTATAGGTTAGGAGGAATAAGCACTACCATTTCAGAGATAGAATGGTTACAGTAATAATTAACCGATAAAACGTGTAGACATCTAGATGAGATGGGTGTGGAAGAGAGTTGACTGCATTTGAGTCAACTGGGAAAGGACAAGAATAGCACTAGAAAAAAGCTGCTAAGCTCAGCAGTAGCTTTACTGGTAGCTCTACTAGTGTCAGTGTGACTGCCATTTCTGTCACACACACACACACACAACCCCGACCTGATACCAGGTACTCCTGGGCTCCTCCTGGGAGCTGATGTGGATGGAAAAATGAATCAAAACCGGCGATGGAAGACTTCACCTCCAGTTTGTGTATTTTCAAAATCAGTATAAACAACCACATTTTCAACTAGCAACCTGAAAAATAACTTAGGGTGCTGTTGTATCCTCCGAAGTCACTAGCGTGCACAGTTTATCTTACCAGGACATCGACTCACACACTAATTACTCTGCCATAACAAGTTAGTGCATATTAGTTGTTCCATGGAGACTGTCCAAGCACATAGTCTGCCACACTGCATGCTGCAGTAATTGCAAGCTAATTGAGCTTCTTAAATCACATTTGCCCACAAGATTTTCAGGCTGCGTGCAAGTGTATAGAGAGTTACCACAGGACAGCTGACACACATTAGCTTGTTTTTCTACAGTAACTCCTTCACATGCAAAATGCTTAAAGTTCTTCAATGTTTTGGAGTTCTCCCTTACCGGTATTTTGGGTACTCTGGATTTTCCAGATGATCCAAACAGCCATTACTTATAACTGCACAATTGCAGAACAGAATCAGAGATAGATATTAAAAAGTGAGGTAATGTATGCTTCTTAAAAAACTATACCTGAAGGCTCGGATGGTGGTAAGACCTTCAACAGTCTCTGAAAAATGGGAGAGTAATGGTAGCTGCGTGCTGTCATCCAGCTGCTGCAGGTCCCTGGAGAGGATTATGAAAAGAATTTTCTAAAAAGTCAGTTTTGCTGTGCAGTTATTCTCTTGAACCAGACCCAGGGAGTGAAAGGGAATATCATCACAATAATTATATATGTAAGGTTCAGACAGATGGCAAGGCAGTGCTGCATGTCTCTGAGCAGGGAAGAAAGAACTCAGGAGGATTTTTCTTTTAAAATTTGAATATGAACACTGCTGGAGTTCTGAACAGGTCTTTTCCCTTCACTACCTTCCCTCGTTTCTCCTATATTCCTATTTCTCATACTCAATTGTTTATTCATTTAAACATAATTCTGGCTCTATGCTGAATATAAATTTAATGGGATACTGCAAATAAGAGCTCGGGTTAAGCAGAAGGCAAAACGCAACAACTCCTCTCTCCCCTGTCCATCCCCAGATGACACAGCACAGCTTCTCGCTGAGCTAACAGCACAGCTCACACACTCAGTAAATGGGACCCGGCGCTCATCATTAGCTTGTGCTTCTCAGTTTCATGTTTAGTTAGCAAATCAGTGGAAGCACATGTGGGGTGAAATTCTATTTAGTCTCAGTTCCTTCCAGCAGGAAGTGAATTGGTTGCAGACTCCCTCTCAATCCATGCATATATGAAGGGATAAATGTAGCATTGCTGCAAACACTTCTTGAGCACTACTGGAAGGGAAGCTGTATGACCTTAGAAGGAGAAAAATGACAGATATGGCTGAAATTTTTCAACTTATTAAAAACTAAAAGGCACCCAGAACAAGAGAGAATGCTCTTGCATGCTGGATTCTTAATGAGCAGCAGTACCACCATGGTTATACTGCATTCTCCAGCCTCTCCCTGGCTTTACAGATTTCCACTTCCACCTGGGTAGGCAGACATCTGTTTCCCTGTTCTGTTACCACATTTCTTGGAAGTGCCCAGCACACAGCCTTTGGGGAAGACAGAATCCAGTTGTTTTTTTGTCAGCTGTGAACTCTAAGAAACTTTGATGAGGGACAAAGACCCTGCTCATGCCTCCCAGAAGTTCTGCTTGAAGAGCTGCAGACAAAGGCACTTGTAAAATGACACATTTTCACTGTAGTGGATCTGGCTCACTCTCAGACTGGGCCATGGCTTTTACAGGACCAAATTTAAACATGAAGTTCCCCAGCACTGCAATTCTGCAATGCAACCATGCGTTGCTGAAGATGTGTCTATTGCCAGAATGATTCTGGTTTATGTTCTTACCGTGATGCAACTCGGAAGTACTTCTGGATGAAGTAGCACATGATTGCGAGGGGAACCAGGGCAATGAGAAACATCGGTGTGACGTATGAGATGACAGCAAGAGCAGATACACACAGCAAAGTGGAGCGACTCAAGCACTCCAAGGTAGCTGGAATGTGCTGTATAGATAAAGAAGAATAAGCACACACAATCTTCTATAACTTACCGAGTTTAAACCAGCATTATTTCATTTTCCTTTCTCCCACTTACACAAGCACAAAAAATTTTGAGGATTTGAAACACTAAACATACAGGTCTGCTTTTGAATTGACTGCTGGGTTTTGGGAAAGCCTGAAGGGATTTCTGCATTGTGGACCACAAACTTCATGTCAGAGGATTACAGACGGGATGCAATAGGCTACTTCAGCATCTGTGTTGATCCCATGAACTGGCAGTGCAGTCTGGGATAAATACTGATAACCTGAATTTCATTCATTTCTATTCTGTGCAACAGCATTCGCATTTTCATTTCATTTGCCCACATGTGTCAAGTTAATGGGTTTAGCCACTTTTTAAAAAAGCAGATCCTCTTCATTTGGGGATATCACTGTTCATCTAATTTTGCTTCCCTTTTCTATACAGGGCATCTTAATCAAATAAATGTTTTTTCAAAGTGTATTTAAGATAATGAATTAATTCTGAACCTAGAAAATCATGATGTGAATTGATACAGTGGTCAAAACTATAGATCATGAGTAAAATTCATCTAAATGAGTGTACAATAAATGAAAATCCAGTCTTTCAGACTGGGAAAGATAGGATAACTTGGCAGCTTGAATACATTTTTTCAGTACCTGGTCAATGGTATTGCAGTCAGCTGAAAACCTGTTCAATATACTTCCCAGAGGTGTTGTTTCAAAAAACCTAAAATGAGACAAGGAATAGGAAAGATTACAATACTGATACTAGACTAGTTTGGGGGTTTTTTTTCTGTCTTCCTTAAGCTAGGTACTGTATCACAGACACAAGCAGATAAGTTGACAACCACAGTAAAATTTATCATTTTTCCCCATAACCATGGCTTTCCAATAAAATGGCAGTCTCGAACGTAACGCAACAGCAGCAAGCATGTCCCCAGCTCCCTCTGCTGCCTAAGCTATGAAAATCCTTTCAGATTTGCAATTTGAAGCCTCTTCAATTAATGAAAAATGAAAAGTCAAATTACAAGTCTTGCATTTTTCTGGGAATAGAAATGCCTAACTAAGAACAGTTGTTGTAATAATACATTAAAAGACCTTTCCTTTACATTTACATATGTAAAACACAAACTTCATTATTGCTCTGTAATTGTGAATTGTTCCATAACTCATGTTGAACCCAAAGTCTTATTCTATTTTGAAAAAAAAAAAAAAAAAAAAAAAAAAGGTTTTAAAATATCTGAAGTTTTCCCATGTATTATTTCTCCATGATTTCTGGGCCAAATACAGTTAACTTAAAAGGAAGAACCTATTTTTCCTAATGTTCAGTAACAGCTGCAGGTTTGAATCAAGCTACAACTTTCCTTTCATGCATTACAGAAAAAACTTTTACAGGACAACAAAGGCCTTTACTGGTTTCTGTGCATCCCACTGTACTCTAATGATGCCTGTGATGACACTTGTCTAAGCTCATTATCTTTTACAGGCTTGCACAATCACTGCCTGACAGCAAATATTTCCAGTGATTATGATGCACGCTATGAATGAACTGTACAACACATTGATCAATAATTGTGTTTTCTCCCTAATTAAAAACAGCAAAGAGAAATTAAACATGCAAGGAAGTAAATCTAAAGTCACGGTCAGGCAGGAGAGGTGTTTCACTAGTGTCTAGGAACTTGAGCAGCCCAGGTATCATTTTCAAAAACTGCTCAATAGTTTGAAACGTGGTGATTTTCAATGACACATTAAAAAAAAAAGTGATTCCCAGTTACTTCTTAATAAAAACTGTGCTTAGAAGATTGCCTTGAAGCAAGGAACACAAAATGACTACAAAACAATCTGTATTACAATCAGAGGAATACCTCATTGGAGCCAAAATAATTTTATTTAGTAAAGAAGAGTGTAGCTTTTTGGTGACTTTCAAGCCAGTCCACTCCACCGCTATTGATGTGACAAGACATAATACAATCCCAAGACAGCAGAGAATGCTGAAAACTTTTGAATATGGAGAATGGTTGAAATCCTAAGAAACAAAAGAAAGAGGAACAAAATTATTCACTGTAAATTATGTTTCAAATTTATTCTAAAAACACAAACACAGAACTGAAAAAATGTGAGAAGTAAATCCTTTTTCCTCCCTAAATTAAACTGACAATGAGACAATGATTTTCAACCATCTTAAACCACAGCTTATAATCCTTTGGAGAGAGGAGTGTTTGCATGAAAATAAGAGATTAATCAGAAACTTAAAATCAAAAAATACTACAAAAAACTCTGAAAAGATATATTTGATAATTTCATCTGAAGGAAAAAACCATCTTCATAGCATTTATTACAGCTCTGTTGTTTTGGTCTATTTTTTTTGAATAGGAACAGAATAGTTTTTATTTTGAAATACTAGTATCATTAAAACCCAGCATCAATGAAAGCATCTTTTAAAGATGAAAGCGTGACTCCAGTGAAATCATACATGCACCTCTCAAACATTAATGTGGATTATTTGTAGGTATTAAATCCCAATAAAGAGAACAATCTCCGTTCTAACAAAATCCCTCCACTACTGCTTTATACCGAGTACCCTGCTAGGTAACATTGTGCTCAGTTCCATGTGGAATTCACATAAAAATCAGCAAAAAAGTGTGCCCATCATAAAAAGAAATCTCTGCATTTCCCGTATATTACATTAGGTTGCACACCTCACAGTAAGAACAGTTTTTCAGCTCTAGCTCTGTCTTCCCAGAAATGGCATCCGAGGTCCAGCGCGCCAGGCAGTAGTCGATGGCCACCATGACCGTGTGCTTCAGCAGCTGGGACAGAACCAGCAGCGGCAGAAGGAGGATTCCTGCTTCGCTGAGGTACTTGCCACAGGCCCTCCAGGGCATCTTTGCTCTCTGATGCAGCACTGAAGACAGGTTGTCTTCATCATCACTTTCTGTTACTTCTTCTGCAATGTGCAAGGAAAAAGTACAGCCACGCTGACTTACTCATACACACCTTTCACTGGCACTGGCGAGTGGCAGCTACAAAACAGGTCTTATCATACAGGATAAAGAATGGCTTTAAGGTGAAATTATCTGCTCAGGCATGCGCATATTAACCTGCTAAAATTAGTAGTAATGCATGCTAAAAAGATGCAAAAAACCTTAGCACTAGGCAATCAATGTCTTCAGCCATGTTTTTGCAATTTAAAAGTACTGGCTTGATAAAAAAGATTTGCAATTTTTTCCTATGTAAAACCTTAAACAAGTGTGCTTAGCTATTGACAGGTTTGAAGCTCACCCAGCATAGATTATTCAATATTAGTCCCCTTTCATTATCAAACCACGTTCAAGTATAAGACAAAAACCTCAAAAGTTTGGAGGAAGCTATGACTTCTGAATGCTTGGAATCACTGTAGTCCAGAGGTAAAATCAATGGAAACAGCACTCTTACGAGTCACAACCCACCTGAAAAATGATTATTCTCTTACCAGTTTGAATTACATTAATTCATTCTAATATAATTTAACTGTGAAACTGTAATGTAGTGGTACTGGGCTCAAAGGGTGCCCTTTTACCTTCATCCTCTTCATCATCTTTCAGCAGAGCTTCACGGGAATACATAGTCCTGCGGAGATTTGTTCTTTCAAAAACAGTTTTTCTTTCAATAATAGTTTCCTAAAAAAAGATAAAATTCATGTGTTTTCAACCAGCAAAATACAAAAAAAAATACTACCTGTGACAAAATTTGTTTCCAATCAGAACATCAGTGAAAGATAAAAGTGAAAATCTCACAGCAGGCAGTCATAAGTGATTTATTTGCTACATCTGTATAAAGCCAAAGGACATAAATTAGATATCTGACATTAATTTCAGGTTGTCAGTCCCAACCCTCTTGGAATCTTAACTTAGAGACATATCCCTGAATTAATAAGAACCAAGATTAATATCTCGTTCTTCCTGCCTTGTAGTATTAAGGACAAAATGTGTTAATGATTTAGAGAGCTTGATATAGGCACATCTGAAAAACTTCTACCCAATGCAATGAGTAGGCATATTCAGGCATTTTTATAGAGAAAAGCAGTTGTTAGTATTGCACATTACCGATGCTTTTCCTAAAATGGCCCAATTTAATATTCCTTAGACAAGTAGGGGTTCCTATCAAGAATGGATCAGAGGCAACATTATCAAGGAAGTATGAGATGCCCAGGTGAAGGATTTATCTTAGTAGATAAATAAGAACGGTAGTAGTAATACTACGTTCATACTAAGTTAGAAATCACACACAGCATGTCAATCCTTGCTAATGCTTTCAACCTCAGAAAAAAAAGTCACATTTTCTGCAAATGTCAATTGCCCTGCCCATCAAAAACCTTCTCCAGCTCTTGGTCTTGTCGATTCATTAACGTCTTCCAGTGTTCAAAGAGCTCAGTTTCTGATTTCTGAATGTCCTTGAGTGTTCCTTCTCTCTGGATGTTACCATCTTTCATCGCAATTATCTAAAAAGTTGGAAACACAAGTGGTGAGATAAATAGCTGTGTAACTCTATTTAAGTTATGTTGCTGTGCCTGGACAGAATTTTATCTTTTCTTAAATAAAGAATATTTCCATGAAAAAATCTGTCTTCTAAAAAGACAGCAAAGTTTTCTCTTAACTCTGTCCCCTTTACTCAAGATGCTGCAAAAACAAAAACTTCCTGCACTTCACATTTTTAGAAAGGAAGGGTGCTTTTAAGTAAGTAAGAAGAATGAGGTGCCTGTCATCAGACAGGAGAGTGCATTACTCTTCCTAAATACACGTCATTAGCAGGACAAGATTTTAGAGTTCTCTTACCTCCTAAAAGGAAAAGGCTTTTAGCAACACACTGTGCGCAGCATGTTTTGCCCTCGTTCAGGCAATTAGAGACGAGCATGCTGGCTCCACCGTCTGTTTGATATCATGGACCTGATAAGGAAAAGCTAGGGAATTTGAATCCCTAAAGCTTTTAAAAGCATAAATCATGGACACAGTTTGAAATAAAAAAAAATTAAATATGCAAGATAAAGTCTGAAGGGTGTGGTTTCCAGGTTTATATCAGTGTAACTGCGTTATACACACAGTGTAACTACCTTCACTTTAGATCTGACGAGGAGAATTGGAAAATGAGGCATGTGGATTGTAAACCCACATGACATCATTAGAAAATAGTTAATACAGTGTTTATTTTTCTCTCTCCCTGGAAACTCAGAAATTTCCATGGGCAGGGAGTGGGAGACAGGTTGAGAAAATAATCTATTCCACTTATTGCTAAGAATTTACACCAGAGGAAAGGAAAAAATAAAGCAAACAAGGATCTTCTTGTGGTCAATTTATTCAGGAAACCTGTAATTGGGCTGGACTTGAACTCTTCTGAGGGTTTTGCTCTGAAGATTTAGGAGGGCCATCACATATATTTCAAATTATATTTTTATTTTAAATTCCATAATAAAATAAAATAAATATTCCTGCTGCACTCCACAGGGTAAGATTTGTCAAGGCTTGATGAGATTTGTGCTTAGGAAAAAAACCTGAATTATTTCTCAATAAATATTTTTAAATTATAAACTTAATTAATACAAATCCTTCCTGTCCTACAGGCTGCTTGGAACAGTATTTTCATAAAACATTACTGAAACCCAATTAGAAGATAATAAAAATGAAATAATTCTCATAGAGGATCTCATAAAACAAGAACTCCTACAAATGGGTCTGACATTCATAAAGAAAATGAAAAAGGCGATACTGATACAAGGCCATAGCTGAGCATATTTTTAAACTGCAAATATATATCAATTGAAAAGAGGAAGCAAAGATGGACCTCACAGTGAGGGGAAGAAGGCAGAAGATTCCTGTATCCTGAGAAACACTAACCGGAAAACCAGACCTGTGTTGAGAACAGTAGGAATTCCTAAAGGTGTCCAACTGAGGGACAAGGTCACAGCAGACACCGTAAAGGATAAATGCTGCTCACCAACAACATCATCAGAACAAGATAAGTGTGGATCTGCAGCTTCATAGTAAGTCCATAGGAAGAACAGAAAGCAACTGAAATATAATTATCTCTGGAGACTGAGTAACTGCTGCTATGGTCTGTGCAAGCTGCAAATGAGAGGGAAGTCCTGCTAGGAGGCATAACTGCATCAGTCCTCGTGGGGAAGAGGACCTGTGACATTGTAGCTGGATAACTGTAGGAGAACAAAGTGCAAGGCCAGTGTGAATTAATGAACTAAAAAAAAAAGAGAGTCCAAAAACCCCCTGACCTCCTTATCCTACTTGATTTTCTTCATCTTTGACATTTGCAATTGCAAGCTGTTATAGAAAGCATATCTTCATTTTTTTTCTATGAACTACGAGATATAAGAAAGAAACCTAATAAAACAATTGAATACTACATATTTCTCAAAATTTTGCCAGCATACAAAGGGTAAAGATGTTCTCAATGCCTTATGTACTAGTACTAACCACAAGGAAATACTGTTTTTTCCTTATATTTCCATGCACCTTAATATCCATAAACAAACCTTTTTTTGTGACAACACGGACAAATCCTAGTAACATCCCAGCACAGGCAAATACATTACTCAAATATTTCACTGTTTTGAGATTTTAAAAAAAGCAAAATTTTCCAATGTAACTAATGCTTTTGGACACTCAGTATATTTTAAATGCAGCCTGCTTTCATGAGAGTATTGCGTATCAGGTCTATGAAATTTCAGCCTATTTATAGGTGTTCCAAGATGGGAATCCCAAAATTATGGCAACCCAAACTCACTGGCTAATTTCCAAAAGATCTTTATTATGTCTCTTCTCACTAAACTACCACTTGATGGAAAGATGAAGTGAAAGCCTTGTCTGTAGCAAGACATATTTGTGCCACATTCTTGCCTCCTCCGAGAAAAATGGGAAGAGCTTTCTTACCCAGTCAGCATGGGGTAGGTACTGCAGCTTGTGAGTTACTAGCACAATGGTCCGCTTGTCTTCCCGTAGCATTTTCAGGATCCCTTCTTGCATGAGATGGTCACTTAGGTGGATATCCAGTGCAGAAAATGGATCATCCTGTCACGAGGAACAGAGGTCAGCTTTTGGAGCCAGCACTTACAGGATTTAAGGAAACCGGCAGATTTTAATACTGGTAAAACCAGTTAGATCAATATAGGCAATCAAAAGAGGCCATCAGAAGATGAAAATTGTTCTGAGGAATGGTTTTCTTAAATTATGAAACAACAAACCTTGAACTGCCTTTCTGCAGTGAGTACTGAGACATACAGCTGTGTAAATGCTATGATTTCCTGAGGCTCCTCTCAACAGATGTGTTTCACAGCCTGCGTAACTGCAGTGCCTCGTTTCTGTCAGACTCAAGACAAGGCAGCAGTGCATGTCTACAGCAGATATTACATAACTGCTCCAGGGACAGGGACAAAGAGCACATTTTTATTTTCCTTGTAGATAACTGCCTTCTGATTTTTATTTTTTTTTTTTAATCCATAAATCTAAACTCTATTAACAAAGAATCATAAAAGGAGAAATATTGATTGTTTTGATGACTCTGCTCAAATGCTTGATTTACAACCTAGATTATCTTATTCAATCAATGGATTATATGCAATTAATTTAGGCATAAACTACTCTGTACCATCTTTTGGGGGACTTGTTTACCTAATTCTATTTATATAGAATTACAAATCTATTATTCCTGCTTGCACTAGTGATACTGGCTGTAGGATTTATTTAGTATTATTATTTCATACTAATATACTACACTAAAACTAGGATTTCTTAAAAATCAACTTTTGTTTTCTTTTCTCCAGATGTTTGCTGATAAAGTAGGGTTGAATTTGAATTAAGTCTGCTTTCTGCATGACATCATTGCCACCAGTTAGTTAGGAAGAGGTATAAGCAGAGGTGAGTACTTTATTGAACTTTTATTCCTTTTAATTTTGCAACAATTTATATTGTGACTGCATTAGATACTTTAGTATTGTTGCTTTCATGTATCTACAAAACCAAAAATATCTGAAATCAACAGTAAATAGATAAATGACTGCTGAAATTCTGATAAATCAGAGCATCATAACATAGAGCACTTCAAGTGCTTTTGAAACACAGTTACTTCTGACTGTGATACAGAATTTATCCTCAAGAATGTGTGTGCAACTGTGTGTGTACACTGCGCTCGCTGAGCAAGGATGTACGTTGTCAGCTTTATTGCTGCTCTCTTCTGATCTGACACAGACCCAGACATCATTCCGAGCCCCGAGTCTGTGCACAGCCACCTCGTGTGCCATGCTGCACTTCTGCAAACTGTCAATGCCAGTTCACAGAACGTGGAGTCAGACAAGGCTTGTCCATTAAGACGGCACTCATCATGTATGATTATAATGATGCACTGATTACTAGACACCTGAAAAAGAAATCAGTTCACACCACAGGACTAGTTCAACATGCGACAAATAAAACGTGCTGAGTGAATGAACATAATTAACAATAAAATATATTGTGAATTATCACATGACCTTTTCTCATACCTGCAACAAGAAGTTTAGAGAGTCCAAAAGGTTATTGAATATGAGGTGCATGCTTGTGAGAGAGAAGCTTCCAAAGCATTTGTTTAAAAATCAGTCTTAAAAGAACTGAGTGTTTGCAAATACTAACACATAGGATTCTTGATTATTTTTGAAAGATTGGTAAGTGGAAAAAAGTTTATTTGTAGTTCCTTTTACATTATCAAACCACAAGAGAACCTGCTACTATTAGGAGATTATTGAGTGTCCTGCACAAACGGACAAAGGTGACAAAACCAAGTTACAGCCCAATATGGGATCTGTTGAATTGCAGCACCTGGCCCAGCTGCTCACTACTCTCCTGCATTCTGGTCATTGCTTGGAAATGCTCTAACACATGAAGCAAGCACGTATTAATCAGCCTAATTACTGGGAAAGGTCTAATTAACCTCCCAGACTTTTAGGGATGACCTCTAATGTGCACAGCTTTTCTAATCCCATGTGACTAATGTCTCACTGTCATAACAGCTGGATTCAAAGCACCTTGAAAACTGAGCTTAAGAAGGAAGTCTTAAATTGGAAAGCCAGCAAGCTCACTACAAGTGAGTGTGTAGGATGCATCTGTTTTTCCACCTACTAAGTTTTTAGAGCCTGCTCTCACTTCTTTTTCCATAGTACTGCTGAAGCTGGGACAGGATATACAACAAGCAGTTCAGAGTGGGAAGACAGCTTGGTTTGTTGCAGAAAGGAAACACCTGAGACACAGGACAACATTAATTTTAGGCCTGAGACACCTTAGGAATTTCATAAATAGAACTGAGACTATTTCTGAGTATCAAAGATAAAATGAAGGTTTTTATCTAGAAAAATTTATTCGAAAATCAATTTCAATAGATTGAGAGAGGAAGCACCAGCATTTCAATTTGTTTCCTAATACCCATCTGTCTGCAGCATATACAAAATGCTTACCTGCAGGCTAGCTAGCAACGGATATAAAATAAACAGTGCACATTTGGCTTAGCTCAGTGAAGCACAATGTTCTGTGTGTGTTACCCATGAAATACTCTAAATGCTCACATCTCCTGCTTCTGCTTGGAGCATAAGCGTAATGCACCTACTCACCAGGAACACAACATTTGTCTGCTGGTAAAGTGCTCTTGCCACACTGATACGTTGGCGCTGCCCTCCAGACAGATTAATACCCTAGAGATAAGCAGGAGAAAAACAATCAGTTATAAAAACATTAACTGAATATTCATATTCTGATTGGATTATCCATAGATGACTTTTTGGACAAAGAAACCCAGAGAAATTTTTCAAAAGTGTGGGCCTGCAATTCAGCTGGGAACATAGTACACAAATTGTTAGAAAAGCCGGAGCACTCTACTCCATACATACCAGAGCGATGCAAAATGTTTCATGGTTTGTGGTGACATCATGGTGTAGGTGGCATAGATACTCTGCAGGCAGTCTAAACTAGACTTCCACTCAAAAGTTAGCCTTACGAGTCTGGCTGTGTCCTGGGTTTTATTTATTTTTATAATTGTATGTTGTCATACTATATCAACTCCATTATATACTGTAATCAGATAATTGCTAGCTGGGAGGTCAGACCATTCTGAGGTGAACATTACCTGGTTGCTATTGTACTTGTTCTTGCCCCTTAGTCCCCTGCCACCACCTTGCTCTAAGTTATTTATCCTTCTGGTGATCCACTCACAGTTTCACAAACACCTTAAGCTCTCATAGGCCATAATGCTGCCAAAAGACGCTACTCCACCTTCTCCCTCCCCTACACTTCCCTCCTGCTGTCAAGAACTATTTGCTTGGCTACACAATGAACTGAGTTAGCAACTAATGTATTTAAGTTTAACATGGTAGCCACTGTGGAGATTAGGCATGGAAATGTATCCTTAAATGTATCCTTGTGGGGTAGTTTGTTGTGGTTTGGGGGGTTTTCTGTTTTTTTTTTTTTTCCTTTGTGACAGTGCCATCATATGCCAAAGTAAATTGTTTACAAATTTGTGACTTCTGTTTCCTTTCTCGTCACCCCCTAATCTTCCCTGATGTGATAAAGCTTAGTTTGCAGTTGATTAAACACCTGCCCTTTTTTAAATGAAGGAGCTCTAAAAATCCATGAATTATTTATTTTTATGTAACTCCTAAAGAAACCAAAAAATGCACTGTGAAGTCACAGTATCTGAGATAGTAGCCACAGAATTAGTCAAACATTCTGATAGCACCACATTTAAATCATTGCATCTCACATAAATGACAGTTTCCATGTTTACTGAGCAATGAGCTTTCAGACTAATGACCCAAACGTACACTTAACTAAAAGATTACCATTGTTGCCAAATAACCGGTAAGATTTTAAGAACACAACAAAATAATAAAACCCCTTCTATATATTTAAAACAAAAATAGAAGCCTGGAGCTGTTTACTGACCCTCTCTCCAATCTGGGTTTGGTCTCCGTGAGGGAGAATGTCAATATCAGGCTGGAGGGAACAAGCATCAATTACTGCTTTGTACCTGCGGAAACAAAAAAGGTAACGCAAAATCCACACAGATACTGCTAAAGAAGCACATTTCCTACCTGCAGAGGAACAAAAACTAACCAGCTGGAAAAATCACACAGTGGAAAACATATTTGTTGGCCACTAATTGTTCTAATGGGATCTTTTTCAATTACAGGCAAGTAAATAATATTTCAGCTAAGAAAAAGCATCTTAGGTCAGCTTCCCAATTAAAAATATTTAATAGTTAAAATTGGGCAAAACAAGCACAATTTATTCCATGGTATATTGTTATTGTGTAGCATTTAACTTCTTTCAAGCCCAGGGCCTTTGTTTCTTGTTTCAATGTTCAAGTATGACAGAAAAAAAATGCGCGTAGGATGTGAATACACAGCCAACCACTTCTTTTAAGGGCGAGGGGGATGGAGTACCAGCAATTAACTTTTAAATATTTTAGAATGTTTGGAGGGCACTTATACTGAGGAAAAAGGCAGCTCATTAATCCTTCACAATGTACCAAGCACTGAAGTTGTAATAGACAACATTCCCACTCCCAAACAGTTAATGTCCTTCTAAGACAGTTAAACCAGTCAGTTAGGTACGAGAGGAGAACAGCGCACGCTGCACAAATACAGTCCTTGGAAATGAAAACACTTCTACACTGAAGCTCAAGTGAGACTGAACTCTGTCTCTTGTGTCCCTCAGGAAAAACATGGTCAAAGCAGGATTGCACAGAACTCAAGGTCTTCTGTCATGTTCAGGCAGGTACAGTATGTTTGTTACTAGAGGGACCCACACGTGAACTGAGGCCCATACAACTCCATTATTTACCACACAGGAGAGTGACGCGTGCAGCAGAGCTGAAACGTGTTACCTCTGTTTGTTAAAAGGGCTTTCAAATGTGATATTCTCTTCCACTGTGGCATTGAGCAACCAAGGCTTCTGTGATGCATAAGCTACTGATCCTCTTTTCCTGGAAGAAAAACCCAAAACACAGAGTTCCCAGCTTACCCGTGCAGTAGATGTTTTTGGAAACCATTTTCTTGTAAAGGAAGAAACTGGTAATAAGTCTTCAAAAATGTTCTTTCATTTCTGTTCTTTAGGACAACCAATAGCTCTCCAATCAAGGAAATACATAAGATGTTAAATTTTCAACAGAATACTGAAATTGTTCACCTAACTGAATTTCAGTTTCTTCCTTCTTTCTGCTTTGAGGTGGATTAAATTCCCAGATTTACCAAATTTGGTAAATTGCTCAATTTGGAAAACTACCAAAGACTGAATCGCAGGTCTGTTTGGATAGAATGATAAATAAACTGCACAGCAGATCATTAGTAGTTAAGCAACACATTTCTGGAGGGGCATTCTAAGAAGATATTTTTAAGGTGTTTAAAAAAAATTAAACTCCACACATGCACTTGGGGCAATTCCCCCTGCCCCAAATACATTTGTTTTCCCCATTCTAAGAAGAGAATTTGCATCATAAAGTAAACAGGTAGTCATGGGTGGAACTTTTCTATATCTATAAACACAAGAAAACAGTACACAGGCAAAAAATATTTGCCAAATTTCCCCCTGTGGAATTGGCCCCAAAAGGTAACATCAGACAGGACAGGACCTCACTATGCATATTTTATTGCATGGGGATTATTATTATTATTGCTATTTAAAAATAAAACTACCTGCATACTAGTGAAGTAGTAGTGCTTTGGTGGTTATTGTGCACTAAGGACCTCAGTAAGGTGGAGCTGGGAGAAAGGCAACATTTTTTATCAGAGGAACTGATACTGTTGGAAAACTCACTGGCATATCACCATTTCTCCAGAGAAGGGCCAAAAGAGGGATCATACACCTAAAAGCATATCTGTTCTCTTTCCAGCTATATCAGCTAATCCAACAAAAAGATAGGACCTCTCACCCAAACATAGCCTTTGTCTGCTAGACAGCCATTACAGCACCCTCTTTCTACTTGGACCTGGATGTAATTCAAACCATGAGCTGCCAAAATACACCAGGCACTTTATCTTTTTTTATCAGGAGTTAAGGTCACTTGCCCTGCTCTTTTTTTTCAGGCTTTCACCAAGCTTGCTTGGAAGTCATTATAGGATCCAATTTTCCGTGATGACCTGAAAGAATACACAGTTACACTACCCTGCTAACATGCTTCCAAGTTTAAATGTCTGATGGCTCATTGGAATTTAATTATGTTTTATGAATTCTCTTTATTGGAAAATGAAACAGAAAAAAAGAGATAAAAGAATCCCCTAGGCAGCCCAGCCCATAGTTCCAAAATCTAATTCAAAGAGCATTCAGGTCTGCCTCAAGAGGGAAGCATTTTTTCAATTAGCATGAAATTCTCATCCCAATGACAGAAAAAATTGCTCTGAGCATTGCAACATGAACATGTATTCCCTTCCCTTCCTTTTCATTGCTTGAAACTGTGCCTTTGCTGCTCTTAATTCTCACTGCGATTGAAAAGTTACTTCTAATTTCTTTTTTGAAAAATAGTAGCAAAGTTGTGAAGAAAGGTTTTTGCAACTTTTGTAAAAAGTGTTCTTTTGTTCAGTGAAGATATGTGTGCTGCCAGGAAGATGCACTCCATGCTGAGAACCAGCACAGTGCCTGGGAACACCATTCACTTTTGGCTTACACTCTGCTTTTAGGCTATCAGTGAGAATTAATTACTTCAAGGAATTTGGGAACAAGCAATGAGCTTGCTAAAATTCATTACAGACTTAGAATTTAGTAAACCTCTCTAAATTAATCTTAATTGCGAATTGACACTAGGATGACATAACAGGGCAGATAATATTTTGACATAAGCAAAAAGTTTGCAAGTGTTTGATAATATGAGAAATCTATTGTATGTCTACAGTGCTTCTTACAATTAAAGAGGCAATCAAACAAAACTTTTACTGAAACTGTGAGAAACGTGGCCAAACATCCAGAGAACAAAATATTCTGAAACAGTGTGCAACACTTTCTCTGACAGCCTGCCTTGAACCTACCTAAGGTGTCACACTTAAAAGACTGAATGCAAACAAACGGCTTAGCAGACAAAGGCTTACGTGGAATTTATTCTGCAGGTGGAAGTAATTGCCTCCTACCCCCAGACTGCATAAACAAACATGCATTTTCATCAGTGGAGTGTAATTTTTTTCCTCTGATAACACAAGATAGACTAACCATAGCCTCATAATTATCACAAAGAGGTAGACAGCAAAATTCAACCTAACAATAAATAGAGAAAACCTTCTATGAGCTCCCTGGAGATTATGCACTTTGGCCAATACAGGATCAAGACCATTCATTAATTTAGAATCAGAAACAACATTGTCAAGATTGTTTGTTTAAAATTATTAATCTAACTCTGTCTTCACATTTCATTTGTTAAGTCCAGTAGGCTCAGTATGGATTCGAGATCACTGAAAATAAGACTAGTTAAGGGGCATCCATACATGTGCCTTAATAAACCTACCAAGTCCAGAATGTTGGCAATTTTTAAAAGAAAACAGATGCACTTAAAATACAATAGAGTTATGATTATAATGGTAGAGGAAATAATACATTGCAAAGCCTTTCCTGTGTGTTTTGGATTGCTGACTACACTTTTATCTTGATTATTTTGCACAATTCATGAATTCTAATATCAGTCAACAACTCAAAATCAAATGTTCTCCAGATATGAGAGATGTGTGCTGTCCTGTCCTATACTGCTACTGCATGAGCAAAAAAATGTACTTCCATTATTTTCAGCCTGATGGTAGATAATAGAACATTCCAATATTGCCAGTTCTGAGTATTCAGAAGCATACTTTTTTTGTTATTAAACTGCAAGGGTCACTTGCTTGTTTTTACTTCTAAATCTTGCAGTAGCTGCGTAACAGAGACAACCCATTTGCCTTCTAAGGAGAAACAACTCCTGAAGTGCAGACACTTCTGAAGAACGTTCACAGAGTCACAGAATGGCTGAGGCTGGAAGGGACCTCTGGAGGTTCCCATTAGTTTTTAAATGTTGTACCTGAATTCCGTGTCAACAGGAGATTCTCTCTCTGGGCTGCAGAAAACAAACACAAGGGTTTGGTTTGTTTGTTTGTTTTAATTCAGTTATTTAGACAATGCACATAACAACCTTAAAGTACTATCACCATGCTATAATTAAAAATACAACAAAATGACTACATATGAGAAGTAAAACTCTCTTAAATATGCTAAAATTCTGTACTATGTGATATTGACCTAAAAAAAGTATGGCTAAAGCTTCAGTTTTGAGAAGGACTAAACAATGTTGTAGAAAGTATTTAACCTATGACCAAATGCTCAAGACCTCACAAGACTTTGGCTCCAAATACTTAGTTATTAGATACATGGAACTTTGAGAAATGAAGATACATGAAGTCTGAGAAATAAGGTAAATGGGAAAAAAGAGGCTGATAAACCTAAAGAAAAGGCAGTAGAATAGCTGGTGCATCACAGAACCAAGGAAATATTCTGGTCAGTAGGACACACAGTTTAGCCTAAGGCAAGAAAAGGGACATCATATGACATTTTTTTCTCTGCCAGTTTCAATAACAAAGTTCCCACTGAGTTCA